AATGCAGTCTTAATATATGACTATGGGCATACCCAAGCTGCTTTTAGCTAGATTTTAAAAAGCCCTGTTGATTTTCCCACGGATGCTGTTCCTTTGTTCTTAGGCATGCGCCGCTAACAAAGAATTTTATCGATAAACTTTAATCTCGCGCAGATTTTTTGGAAGTGTCATGTACGCTTTCTTTGAATACTAATGCGACAAAAGTGTTTATTTTGTTGAGGTTTTGTAGCTGGGATTATATCTGTATATTTATCTATCTTTGCATTAAAGTGACTCAAACGTTTATCTGCAAGTTGAGTCTCTTTGACACTCTGTTTTGCATATCTGATACTATAGTTATGAATTAACTTCTATTTTCTACCACCGAGTTGGCGTTAATCCGTAAAAATGTTTTACGATCCATAATAAAGTCAGCAACTATTGTCTAGAACGGGAAATAATGGAGTAGCAGTATTATTGTAGACCAGGCTTGCATTTTATCGATAATCGATAGTAGTAAACATGTCGTATCGACAGCACTCGGCTACCGTTCGCGAAACGTGACCGCCCGCGACAAACGGCGCGCGTGACGTTTCCGAACGCAGCCCGATATGTCGCCGATACGAGGCACATCACTGCACTGCACTTTAACGTTTATTCTAAAAGCTATTAGAGATATATTCCTTTACCTTGACATCATGTCAGAAGTTTTTCCTACGTATTATTTAAAGTTGATATAAAGCTTATGTTAAAAGCGTTAGTACAGCAATTTTCTTGCTTAACTTGTTACGGAACTTATGGAGCTAATGGAGGAAATGTCTTTATAATTCTAATGCAACTTTTTGGTTGATAACACGTATTGTTGTATCATAATTCAAAATCCAACTAACGTTGCTAATTTTTTGAAGAAATATTTTATATTTATCAATTAAAACTAAAATCACGTAAATCGGATAAGTAGTTCTCAAGCTACAAGCGACGTTGTTTTACAGTTCTGTAAATATAAATAACTTATAAGGTACATGTGCATATTTTTATGGGAAGGATTATTAGCGTGTATGTCTCTGATCTGCTTGACTGTCGAAGAAATTATACGGTAATGTTAATTGAAGAAATTAAACCAGATGAAGCAGATGTCGTTTAGGAAGGTTTTAGAATACTAGTTAACATAGACAACATAGAGAGCTGCAAACCCCATTTCCAAGAACTCAAACTTCTAACACTACCCTCTATATACATCCTGGAAATGTGTAAATTTGTTAGAAATAACGAAAAACTTTACATTACACGCGAAAACACACAGACTCACTACACCCTACGACACAAAAATAGACTAATCCTACCAGGTTCTAAGCTAAAAATACACTCCACAAGCACTTTAGTAATGGCAGGTAAAATATATAAGTATAATAAATTACCAGATGACATTAAAAATGAACAAAAATGTAATATCTTGATAAATAAATTAAAAAATCTTTTAATAAATAAATGCTATTATAATGTACAGGAATATTTAAATGATAAATTTAATAAATAAAGTAAAAATAACACTGTAATCTATACCTAATAACAATTATAATGTATTTGTACTCAATTAGTTATAAGTTATATAAGCCTATCTACATAAAAATAATGAAAAATTGTAAACATATATTTATTATAGCCCTCCTCATAAAAAATTACTACTATTGTTATGCCCGACAGGGCCCACAATGCTCCTAAACTAATATAAGTATGTAAATCCTTATGTACCCTACCACCTAAGTTCACATTGTGGAATGCAATAAATATATTGAGTATTGAGTATTGAGTATTGAGTATTAAGTATCGCGGGCAAGTGGGTTAAAATAGGGTATTTTGTAGGAGTTTCGTAATTAGTCTCGGGTGATAAAGGAACTTAAGGGCAATTGTATTAACTTGACTGCACGGTTGGTGCGGTGGCTGGGCAACTGGCTGCCGTGCAACGTGTCGCGGGTTCAATTCCCACACGGAACAACACTTTGTGTGATCCACAAATTGTTGTTTCGGGTCTGGGTGTCATGTGTATGTGACATTGTATGTTTGTAAACGCACCCACAACACAGGAGAAAATCCTAAAGATGGGCAAAGTTTGTATCAAAAAAAAAAAAAATAAAAAAATTAAGAAAAAGAGTTTATAGCCTGGAAAAAAATAAGCGTGCGGTACATAATATACCTATAAATCAACTGTAAAATCCAAGTTCCACTATTTCTACGTCAAACCGCAGTGTCACAAGTATCTCAATTCTAAACAGCGGTATTCTATTCAGGTTGCGATTCCTGATAGTGCGATTGTAAAATAAAATGGACGAGTTTCAACAACAGAAGGACCACATCTATAGAAAGTTTTTAAGGAGAATTGATATATTTATTTAATAAACAGACTGATAAATGTTAATGTTTATTGTTGGAAAAGAAAAAATATAGAACGTTGAATTGAAAAATCGGTTACGATGTCTCTAAATGACTTGGGTAAGGAAAATATAAAAACTTTCAGACGAGAGTACAATTACGGGATAAAAGCAGTTGATGTGTATCTTGGCACTTACTCAAAATCATAATAAACAAAGAATTGATATTTCTTATCAACCCTAAATTTGGGAGGACTATCTTTCGACACGAATGTGCCGAATCGTGGAGTGAAACTAAGGCCTTACAGGAAACGGGAATAAGACAATCACAGCGTTGTATTTCGCCGTGTAGGTGAGTTTTTTTATCCACTCAATGTTAAACCCGCTCCAAGAGGGAGTTTATTGCGACGCAATGCGCAAATCTTATCTGCTATTTGATGCAGATTTGTATATGGCATGGATTGGGGCATAATTATGAGACTGATATAAACTGTGTAGGTGAGGTTACCGGAGGCCCAATCGTCCCTTTCCCCCGTTTTTAAAAACGACAATCCTCAAATTCCTAACCCAAAAAAGACCAGCACTTGTAACTCTTCTGGTGTCTTGGATATCTATGAGCGTGGATTGCTTACTATTGGTTGATGATCTGTAAGTTAGTTTGTCGCTTGATAACATTAAAAAATCTACGGAGACTAAACCTTCTCTCCTTGCGCATAGCATGTCCACATTCTCTTTGCATACCCAGGTATAAGCGGGTGACAACTGTTGACAGGCTTGATGTCCAACAAAGAAACAATCGCAACGGAGAAGCTCAGATCCATACGATTGGGATACACCTGGGATGAAATACTACGCGTTTGTTAGATCAAGTTTTCATTATAAAGGATCCTGTATACCGTGTAACATTTAGTGGAGTTTGTTGTGTAAAATAAATAAATATCGAGGATAAAATAAAGGCAAGTTTACCTAACTATGCGAGAATGAGGGTTATGATTTTTGATAGTCTATTAGTCGGCTTATTACTAGAAATGGGGGTTCTTACGTATCTGACTACTGTAGAATGTGTAAATGCTACTTTCTTGTTTTTATGGTCCACAGATAATAAAAAATACACGCGACATCACGCATAATGTTATACTCTGTGGACCATAGACAAAAGGTTTTGTTTTTTTTTCGTTTGTTATTAATTTTTTAAGTCATTTAATTTTTATATGTATCATTCAGTTTAGATTTTTAGTAATATTTTATTTTCTTCTTTTTTTTTGTATTTTTGTTTTATGTGTGTGCGCTTGCGCGAAAATAAACGGTTTTCTTTCTTTCTTTCTTTCTTACTAGAAAAAGAATACAAAACGTTCTCAACAGCTTACGCTACAGAGAATAGCAAAATTAGGTATCTAATGGTACATTTGGATAAAAACTTTGTTACCAGTACAAGTTCTTGAATGTTGTCATTTTAGAACTTGGTACTTTCACCATCTCATCGAGGGTATGAAACGATTTTGGTAATGCACAAACGTGATAAAGTCTCTTAACAAGATCTGTGCCCTTTACAAATGAGCGTTAAAGTTCTTGTACACATCACAAATAAGTACGACGGCAATTGCCTGAATGTACCCAGAACTTAGAGTAAGGTGATTCAAGGAAATAGTAAAATATTCTCACATATATTCCGGGAAGGCAATCAATTTACATCAATCAATCAATGGGTTTACCTAAGTAACTCCCATTTAATTCGGAACACGATCACTATTCACTGTGATGGGCGGTTTAGTACCCCATCCACTTCAACTTTCTGCAACCTCAATCTACGTCACTCTAGGATTTATCAGGGGCTCGGAGATCAGCCAGACACTAATCAGGTAGACCCAGACAATTTTAAACAACTTTGATTTTCTTCCAATCAATATTCCAATTCTTGTAATATATATGTACCACACAACAAACATTTGTAAAAACACAATATTTATAGGTAGTACTCTAAGATTAAAATTGACTTCATAGCCCAAATGGTAAGTTAACAGCGTTTTCGAGTTTTCGCCATTAACAAAACCTTTATTTACTCGAGGTACATACTTGAAAAGATAAAACATGTTTCCCAAAATTTATTTTAAAGCATGAAGTATTATTTTATTGCAAGATTGGATAGGATGGTTTAAAAATAATTACACCGAGTGAAGAGAAAAATACTTTGTTGTCTTCTTAATTAGGTTTAAGTTGAATCGTCCCAAAACATATTTCCTAACATCGGCCATAGAAATCGCGGGTTTCAATGCCCGACCATTAAGACTTATGACCGCATTTACTCAGCACTACGCGTTTCACGTATCCGCGAAGGTCCAATTATCCGCCGAATCGACTCTGTAACCGCGGTAACCCCATTCATATTCGCTACCTCATTGAATTTAGGATGTGTTGCCTTTTACGGTCATTTCTATTTAAAAGGTTATTTTATTTATGTCGTTTTAAAATTAATGGTAAATTTTGTCAATTGTAATTTGTGTTTTACAATGAGCTTGGTTCCTTTCGTGGTTCTTGCTACTGAATTATTATTAACATACTTGGGGAAAATTTGTCGCGCGTAAAATCATTGAACTTTATGTATAGGTCTTTCTTATGAGGATCTTTTATTGTAAGTTGTGTCTGTATCTTCAAATGGGACATCCTACAGCTGTGGATGATGACAATGACTATGGGTAAGATTAAAAAAGAAACAGAATCAGTCTCTAATAGCTCCATGCAATGAACTTCATCAGGCCCACAATAAGCTACCCAAAGACAAAACAACCGGCAAAGCGACCACACAGTTATTAGAATGGCCTTAAACCGGTACAAGTATACACATGGACGGTAGACGTAGGCTATACCAAGTGATACTGTCAATTATCTACTCGTTAGGGCTGATCGATCCTCGTCGTGTGTTGAAGACTCGTAAGTCAGCCGTCTAATGTGTCAGGCCAGGTCAGTAGTATGGCCCAGATCTGGCCATTAATAAATTAAGACCTGATGGGAGATACGCCTGAGCTATGTTTTGTTTGCCCGTTTGAATATTTTAGCTGGTTACTAATTAGTAGGTGAGGAGTTAAGTATTCGTGTTCACTAAGGATTGTTTTGATTCTGAGTAACCAAAGGAATTAGTGTAAGTTAGAAATACAATATACACCATACCATTCTTTTTCGTTATTGAAGACAGACTTATGAATCATAGAATCATTATACATACATAATACCTTTCCCTATCTTTTTGGAAACATGGTGTAAGTAGAATTTACGTTTTACTGATCTCATATTTAAAGTAATAAAGGGAATGCCACTGACCTTTTGTTTCAGGAACGACAAATCTCTGACTGGAATTGTTCTTCTGGTGATCTTGATTTCAGTCTGCAGCACCTCCATGGTGGATATTTCCTGGAAACCGTGCTCTTGCAGCGCCAAACATGTTCGTTGGACTTGCTCGATGCATGGAGAAAATGAGCAGAATCTTCCACCTTGTATAATAAGAAAGAAAAATGGGTTATAATAACTATCTACTTTATAGCAAATTGACTTGTAGACTAATTATTTCGTTTAGAATCATATTTTGGCATTCATTGCAATTGGGATCATTTCTTAAATTAGCAGCTCTAGAAGAACCTCATTCTTAACATTCGGTTTAACTTTAAATATATTCCAACGATCTCATAACGGTCCATATTCAATTGTGCATCGTAGATGTAAGATAACAGTGACGAAGTTCCATCGTACCCTACACGATCGGACATCTTCGTATTGTGTTAACTCGAATCTGAATAGTAGTACTCGATAATGTCCAGAGGGATTCCTCAGTGCACGTCAGGACTCGTTCGGGCTTATAACAATGTTTGAAACAGAGCAGGGGCGATCGACCTCGCTATTACACAACTCAAACAAAACCAAGACAACTTAGTCTTACCACGTCATAATGCGCGCGCACGTAAAAAAGATCCAGACATAACAAAATGTCGACAGATGTTTTCATTCCCATGTGATAGATACGAGATGACTGGACCAAGAGCAAGATAATGTAACCTTTTTGTTACCGCGATACCGTTTTGAAATTTTTACAAGTCCAAAATGCTCAGGAAGAGACACATCCGTCTTTTATGTGGCCCGCTTGTTCTTATCTGTCAAATCTTATCGACCAATAAGGACAGGAGACGTCACTCACTCTGCCAATCTGAGCGGCGCGGGCACTTCTCTGCGGGGGGTGAATTTAAAATTGTTCCATTTTTTTTAAAGATGTATCGCGTGCTTGGATGGTATTGCCGTCCTGTGCTCTATTAACATAATGGAGATGGAGACGTTTAGTTGTGTGTAATGAAGCCATTATGCAGGATAATCTTCGAGCCTTGACACACTACGCCGCAGAATGTGGAATTGAAAAATCGTTATTTAACATTGCTTATAAGGATAGGATGTTTAACTGTTCGTATAATAAATAATTTGACGTCATTCAGGATAACAAAATGTTTTCAAATAAAATCTTTAGAGCTAAAAATAATATCTTACACACGTCAAAACACAGATGAAAATCACATATATTTCTCAGTTATACTTAAAAAAAATGTCCTAGTCAACAAACTGTCACTACAAAGGTTCCTAGCAGAGGTTTTATAGGTGGTGAAATATGTAATACACTATCTTAATGCATCGCGAGTCACGTACTCGGTTCGAATCGACTCGACTCGATTCGATAGCGCGAGCGCCGAGTATCGAGTTATCTTAGTTACATGATTCCAAGTGTTCAATTAAAGTTAATTAATCACTGATGACGATTTGATTAGTTGTTTGTAGATAAATGAAGCCTGTTTATCTTATTAGTATTTAGTGAGCATTTGAAAGTTAATGTCTTCTAAGATTTCGTTGGCAGGGTTGACAAGCCTTTAGTTTTGTCGTGGGAAACGTTTAGTATCGATGCAAGATTTATTTGAAAATTTGTTTTATCGCGTTGACCTTTTTATTCCACCTGGGAAACGTAGATTAACTGTTCAATAAACTTTATGCAAAAAGTCACAATTGCTTTTTGTTTATACAAAACGGGCTTAGTTTTATCTGTAAAGATCAGTTAAATATATTTTAGAATATTATAAGAATTCGCAGCTTATTTTGGGATTAATTGTATTAGAAGTTAGTATTACAAAGTGGTAGCGACCCAACGACGTACATAAACCTACGGTCAAAACAGTATTGATTAAGTATGTAAATCAATTCTCCTTAAGCAGAAATACAAAATGACACACACAATCGATTTAACAGACGAAATGAACATCTACATATGTAAACACAAACACTAAGCTACAGCTAAGACCAAACACGGTACGAAACAGCCATACACTAGGTTTATGCCGCTCTATGTACGGTACCAAGGTAAAGGGTGAAGTGAACAGCCGTTAGTCATCCTCAGCAGCGCTTGCGCACTCGTGGGTCAGGGCACAGGAATGCCGCCTAATTGACAGATTACCCAGGACGGGCTTGTCACTGCAGTTTAATATAACTCGCTGGCTTTAGTAATTGTTTAACAATTTTGATTTTGGGCAACAATTTTCGTGGCGTAACGGATTTTAGAGTGACATTGATTGCGGGTTTGGGCAATTTAGTTGCTCTTAAATCATTTTATATTTGATTTAACGATTAGATAAGGACGTGTTGATATGCTTTATTGGAGTCAAAGGGGAATTTTAGATTTGATATTTTGACGCAGCAGCGGTTGACTAATCACTTTCTGGTAATTGTCTTTTCGTTGAATTTAAATAACATTTTAATATTAATGGATTTTGTTGAATTAGCAATAGTATAATAGTACGAAATACGAAGGTATCCTTGTAGCTTTGTTAAAATATTTCACATTGAACAGATTTTGATTAGATTCACGAATGCTGCAAAAAGTTGCCGGACAACCCTACTAACAACCCCATGTAATAAATAATTGCCTAAGCATTTAAGAGCTAAATTGGGATAAAGATATTTAAAATAGGACCTACTAAAACAATGTGGAGCCCTTAGGTCAAGATACAGCAATGTCGCCTAATTGATAAATCGGTGAGGCGGGCTGGCTGTGTCACAGTGACTTAGTAACGACCCTTTTGTTATAGAATTAATTGCTGCCCTGAGGTGATTTTAACTAGACGATTATGAAATCTTATCCTATATTAATGAACAATTGCCGATAACGTTTGTAGCTATTGTCAAGGCTTTTAATTTCTTTGGCAACTTTTAATTAGATTAGCGTTGTACTTAGTTTAATCGACCTCCGTATTAAGGTCTACTTGTTTGGAAAATAAAAAGGCACAATTTAAAATGCTTTTATCATTACCAATACTGATTAGTTTTTTTTATACCTTGCCCTACACTAGGATTTTCTCCTGTGTCGTGGATACGGTTACAAACATACAATTTCACATGCACATGACACCCAGACCGGAGCAACAATTTAAGGGTCACACAAAGAGTTGTTCCGTGCGGGAATCGCACCCGCGACACGTTGCACGGCAGACAGTTGCCCAGCCACCGCACCACCCGTGCAGTCAAAGTTGTACTTGATTATATTTTCTGTACTATTTTAATGGCCGACGATGTACAAAAGAAGTAAAACAATATTTGATGTAGAGACAAAGAACTTAATGGACGTAATTGGAACATCCCTAACTTGCAAAAAAAATATCTCCTTCCAAGCCAACTATGCAAAGACAATGAAGGTTAAAAACAATAATTATTTAAATGATAGAAGAGAATAGACTAAACATAGTTCCAATGAGAATATTGTAATCTGTAATTTGTGGCGTCGTAAATACAGTGCATAGAGATGTGAAGCGATCTAAATGTCAAGCTTGGAAGTGCAGCTATCGACACAAGTCTAATCCTGGCAGACTGCAACAATATGCGTTACGTAACAACGGCTTTGTGCTCTAAGTATCCCCATTCACTAACTTTAGTGATGTAGAGTGTCGATATTTTGTCGTGCCGGTCAATTATAATAAAAGGCTGCGTTGCTTTTTCTTCGAAGAGCATAGAACACAAAATTAATTAAGCATTAACTTATGTTATATTACGAGTTCCTTAGAAGTCGAAACTTATGTATGGAAATCATATGTATGAAGTTACGTATGATTTTTTCCAAAATCACTTTTTAATTATTGTGATCAATTAAAGTTAATCATTCCACATTTTACTTTTCTTTTTTCAATTGCTGTAAAGAATTAATAAACAATTATGGGGAAAGTATTATGTTCGATAAAGAACAAATTTAATGTATCGATAGTGGGATCCCGTCACTACCCCAGCCGACGTAAAGCAACACATCACAATAGACCCGCGTCGCGTCACTAACAATACTGGACAAGCCATTGATGTATTAGTAAAGATAACGCGGTGAAATCACATGTGTAGTCTGCGCGTACGCAGCGTAATGAGGTCGGCTGGCTATCCACTCGTGCGCATACCGTATTGTTCTTTCAATGATCCGATTGGAATTAAGCTACGTCGATACTTCATTGCTTTGTTCGGTAATGGTGATTTGTGGTAACATTTTTATGTAACTTTTGGTAGACAAAAGGCAGTCAAACGTATGAAATTTCATAGAAAAGGAACGTGAAAACATATTTTTGGTGATTTTGTATTCTGAAATAGTCTAAAGCAAATAGCTTTTGTATACGTATTTATTGTAATAATTGGAGCTTGTGTTTTAAGCTCGAGCCGACATTGTTAAAACTATTGAAATGTGTCGCTTGGTAATATTAAACTGTTGAAAATATATTAACCTAATTTGTATTAGTACCATAGAAGTACATATTTTCCAGTATTTCGTATATAGGCAAGGTGTTTCGCCCGCGTGCGGCATGGGGCGTCGTCGTCGGGGTGGCCCGCGCATGCGTCGGCCCCGCCCCCGCCCGAGGCTGCGCTCGCGCCGACAACTCGTACTATTATCAACATACCACCTATAAACCCAATGTTGTAATTTAATGTAAACAATCATGGGAAGTCGAGAGGATTGTTCTGTCATGTTTGTTTGCGATGTGATATTCATTTATTCTCAATATTGTACGATAAAGCTGTAAAGGCTTGCCTAGCGTTGAGGTTAAGTTGTAATAACAGTAATGATAATGAAACACGTATGTTAAATTATAGTTCAGGATTCGTATTATTGTGGCTGAATGATGGTCATTACAACAAGTAGATTTTCACAACTACACAGCCATCGTATCGGTGAATCATCACTCGATAGGTCAAGCCGAGGTGGAACTTCTAAACATTGAATTAGACAATATATTTTACATTTTAAGCATTAATACCACGAAGGAACCTGATTGCGGATAGTGAAATTCCAAGTACGATGCGTTCAATTAATTTAAAAAGCATTCGTTAATTTTATTAATGCTCGCCAGCCTAAATCTACGATCACTGGAAGATGTGATCGCGAACGCCTTCTCATTTTCGAAATTAGCAAATGAATAAAAAAACAAAATGTTGGTAACCGCCAACAGAGTGGACAAGATAAAGAAATATACGGAGAGGTGCCTGCGTTCGAGGGTCCAGATAACACCATTAACGCCGGGGAGGCTGGCGAGCAAAACAATAGAAAGGGACGCTAATACTCGTTCATTTCCGAAAAATGTTAAAAATAATTTATTGTGTATTGTAAACTCAACTCTACTGAAGGGAGGACAAGGTTCAGAGTTGAAAGCGGTTGTAAATGACATAAGTCACGAAGTAGTTAAAGAAAACGATGATACAATTGGAGGAGCAAAAGGGACAATACACGATGGTATTGATAGCGAAATGAGTGGAGTAAGTTTTTCTCAGCCACCCAGCCAGCAACATAATTAATGATGTTCGTGTTGGAGACGAATTTATAAATTGGCTTTATTCCGTTTTTAACAAAGGGTGGGACACGTGTGATAGAGCTGATAGCTAATCTACGAAAATGCGACACAATTAGCGAATCGTTTTCAGGAATGATGTGTGATAATATTTGTCTGTAACAAGCTTCTGGAATTTAATAAAAAATAATTTGTAAATGTAAATAAATCTCAGAAAGATAAAGATCACCAACTAGGAGAAGTAGTAGCTGCAAAACTTTAAGAAGACTACAACGTTATTGATTGTATTAAACGAATAGACGATCAGTGAAACATGATGAAACTGTATAGTATAAAGGTGCTTGCAACATTTTAAGAGAAATTATAAATACAAAACAAGGTTTCACTCAGTAACTTAGTTTTACAATATGAAATGCTAAATGCAATGCAATTGTACGATGGTGGATAAGAAAATAAGTTCCTAACAGAATTCATGCAAGACTATAATAGAATTCCAATTTGCTATCAGGGCAATAACATCTTGACTGTATTAATTCCATAGGTCGCTTCTCTAATATTGTTTTTATATTAAAATTATTTAAGTTTCAATATTTATAAGGAAAGAACCTTAGGTACTTTGGCAGGTTCTTTGCAAGTAGTATTTTTCACATTAACTATTTTTGTATCAAGTATTACGTCACCAATTTTATCAAAAACCTCCCTTGAATCTTTGTCTGTGTTCAATAGCTTTTCTTTTATTTCAATACCAGGGCAGCAGACAAAGTTAACGTCAGTCAGTTTAACTGGTACTTAATAGCAAACACAATCAGCAGCAACCATCCAAGAGATGTAACACAAAATATTGTTATTATCTTAACCGCCTTCAAATTCCATTCTCAGCAATAAATAAAGAAAGCACAATCTGGCTCGTAAATGTGAGAGAGCATTATTTGTTTCGCATATAATAATGGCATATTTAGTGGGCGATATCAGTTAATACGGAGAGGCTGGCATAAATCGGCGCGCGCGCAATCTAACATCGCGGCGGTCCCTCGCCCCGCCCCCCGCGAGTAACTCACTGCTATCTGCCCCGAATATTGTTAATCAGTGTATCATTAGCTCGCGAGTACGACACACACTGTTCGATTCTCTACATGGTATTCATTGTTCATATTTATTTTCAAAGCAAATGTTTTTAATCAATTTTCAGGCAACCTTCTGTTCTAGATATTTGATCGACCATGATGGAAATCCAAATTCGACATTAAAAATATGTATATTTACATGGCGCAGACACCGCAACACCACTTTTTATAGTTGCTCGAAGATAAATATTTGCCGTAATAAGGGTTTTTATTGAGAAATATATAACACTATTTAACATGCTTAGAAGCTTGCAGAGAATGACTACACATTAAAGATTTATTTCCAAATACTTAATCTATGAATACCACGATAAACAGATAAAACTATTATGCACGTAGTAAACGATTCAAACAAAACAATCTAAACTAGTATCTGAAAAAGCATTTATAAATGTCGTAATTCGCACTAAAATTCAGTTCGTATGTATCTGCGATGGCTTGGCTGGCGCGCGATAGCCGCATAGCGCACAGCCGCGATATAGATAAAGCTAACGGGGAGGCGCTGCTATAAATACTTAAAACGAACCAAACGTTAACTCTGTCCCACTCATGTACCCCTGGTACCTACAGATAAATTTTACTAAAAAATTTTTGCCTAAGGTACTTTAGAAAAAGTGAATAAAGAAGCCAAGAATGTCTCAAAAATAATCTATGGGCACCAAAAGTGTCATTATAACTGAGAAACAAGGATTGTTACAAGTAAAATGTTTTATATCCTTCAATGGTTTATTACGGATCCTGTCATAATAACAATGGCTGTCAAACAAATTGATAATATAAAATATGGAACAATTAGTTTATACCTGTTCCACAATGTCCATTGCAACTGATTTCGTGTCACTGATTTCATTGTATGTAAATATCCGTAAAATAATTAACCTCTGGCAACAAAACAAATAATTAATCCTTAGTCAAGTGTCAAAGTTAAGATACAGCTCAAACTAGGACACCTGTTTACCATATCTGCGACAAATCGCATACCAGTGCCCGAACAGTCTGAACTGATTTCATATTAGAAATAATGCTTCAAAATACTGGTCATAAATGCCAAAGGTGGTTGGCGGTCACTTCTCGTCCCGCCCACTATAGCAATAAAGTATTTTACAAGTGATACAAGAACTGCAATCGTACGCCGGATCTCCCGTTGCCTTAACCTTATAAATACTGCGCTATTTATTTCTGGAAATCTATATGCTCTCATCAATTCCTTTGAATGTTCTTCTGGGAAGGCTTTGTGGGGTTTCAGGTGTATATTGGATGGTGTTCTTTCGATATTTGATTCGGTATTGCAATTTCACCATTTTTGGAGGGATGACTTAAACAGACTTAAAGAAATTACGGTTTAATGGTAATTCGAGACACAATATTTTACAAATTATTTTTAATAATGTATTTAAACAAATTATATTTGTATTTGAGCGAGCACAATTATCGAATAAATGACAATAAAGGGAGTGTCGAACTTTTACTGACAAGAAACCATCCCTCTCGTACTCCTGTTCCAAGCCGAGCCGTGATATATGATTGCTTTTGCATCCGTAACCTCGGCTGTCTTGGACAGGCTAGCACGTGAATGCAAATGAAATGATCACTTAGACTACGCTAGATTTTTTTGTTAATTGCAGCATGGTTTCGTCGTATTTTGAAATACATTTTCAAAGTGTTTAAAGATATCTAAGTAGTACAAATTTAAGTTTGGTAATAAAGAGTCGGCTCGACGGAAGTGATACCACAGAAAATCCTTACAGAAAATCGCTGTGAACCACCCATAGCGCTGTGTATCGCTGTCTTCGTGAGATTACCGGAGGTTCAATTCTTCCCCTACCTTCCGATCCATCTTCCTTATCCAAAAAAGCCGACCACGCACTCATAACTCATCTGGTGTTGCGGGTATCCATCGTCGGCTTCGATTGCTTACCATCAGGTAATACGTCTACTAGGCTATCACATAAAAAATAATTAAAGATTTCAAATAGCAATAGAACTCCTTCTAACTCCACACTAAAATTCAACCATATATCAAGGCGCGCGTACGCAATGTACGGTAGCGACAAGGCGACAACGCGACAGCGCGCCCGTGTCGCGTGTCGCTGCGACATGTCGCTACCTTATACGCAATGAATGGAGAATGTGCGTGCACTTAAACGGAGTTAGGTGATGTAATTAGAAAAGTTGCGTTTTGTTTTTATATTTTAACAAAAGCAAGTAGGAATATGTGGCGCTTTTTGAATTTAGAACTCTATTTTAATGGCCGTATAAATTATTTTCTGTAATTTTTTCTTATTAGTTTTTACCATGTAGTGTTGAGCATTTGTATAATATAGTAACATGAGTAAGCATTACCAAGAAATTTTAAAGTAAGTAATAATTGAGTAATAGGTCATTAGAAACCACAACTTTAAATGTATATAAATTTTATAAAAATCAACTTTAAACGGACTAGTTGTATAAATCAAGGTTAATGTGTCAGTTACAATAAATCTTAAGTGTAATAAATATTAAATAGACTCTGAACAAATTACCACAACTGGCGTGGACTGGATTACTTCCATAGTAAAAACATCAACGCGCAAGCTACATGACATCGACTGACAGAACTTTTAGAACGAAACTATAAGCGCGTTGAAGTCTTTTTTCAAACACATCAACATTTTCATAATAATTATTGTTATTCGTATTTTTATGGATAATGGAGGAGAAATATTAAATAATTTTATGTTATTTGTCGCTTGTTATGTATTTAGGAATCTATCTTAGGTAATTAAAAAAATAACTCACTTGCATGTATTTTCTAAACACTTGTACATACAAGCATAAGATAATCTATAAACCTCCATTAAATCATTTAGGGACGTGCCAATGCCTCGCCTTACCTAGCGACCGATAAGGGAATAAAACTCATTCACACGTTCGTCAACTTAATAGATGCCTTATTAAAAACGCACAGCACGATTTGAATCGATTCACTTTACTCGCCCCGCGAATCGATTTATTCACCGATGTTCTCGATTCAAATTAATAATGGCAGCTGCGTTTACGCGCCAAGTACGTTACGTTTCATTTAAATTCCAGAATCGAATATTTAAATTTAAATTTATTCGTGTCCCGTTTTGGGTTTGTTGAGTTCCTCTGTTATAGGTAGTTCAGGTCGTATGATTTATTCGATATAGATGTGTATTTAATTGATTATTAATAGGTTTTAGCTAAATACTGGTTTCCTAAGGAAATTCCAATATCGACTCCTACACCAATTAAAGTCTTGTGTTACACTATACTTGTCTAGTAATGGTAATATTTGTTTCCATTTAAATGCTTTAATTCAATTCGAATGGAATTAACAGTTGTTTACTAAAATGCGTTCTTAATTATATTCCTGTTAAAGTTGAGTTTTTAATAGTGTTTCTAAGTTCCAACGTTTTGTAAGGTGAAAATCGCAATAAATCGTCAAAGAATGCAGGTTTGTTTCGTTTGTAACATATTCTTTTGTATGTGTGACAATTATAACACAGAACATTGGGGCCTCAAGGACATGCACATAAAGAGAACAGATATAAATATGCATCCATACTTATGGAGCACATACTTCAAACGTAACTCTCCTTACTGCCATATAGTACGATGCTTCGCTAGTTTAAATTACACATCGTCGATTTCACAACAACCCCGCAGTGAAAAGGTTAATCTTATAAATAATATCTAATCTGGCTCAAACACCAACAATAAATCAGCTTATTTAGCCCACATCCACGTTCGACTCCGGCATTCCATCCTATTAACATTTAACAATGTATGAGAAATAGTATCGGTTAGGCCACATAAGTACGCATGCGATTTATTTAGCAAT